ATGACTTTTATTACTTTTTCGAAACAAGATTTGCTTAATGGAAATTCTTTACAATGAGTAAGACACGAGCATGCATATGTAGGTGAAATTATAAAAGCACAGCTTTCTTTTTCTCTCTTTGCTTTTCAACTTCTTTTTTTGAGAGATTCTGCTTGAATTTCACTGATGGCGTCCTTTCCAACCTTAGCAAGTGAAAGTGTTTGATCGAGATCCATATTATTTTCATCAATGACTTGTGCCATGAGGGCTATTATTCAATTGTTTTAAAATAGAGTCGAAAAGTTGAAATTTCAAAAAGTGTGAAATTGGATTTGGATTTGCATTCATTCTCCATAAATTCACAACTATGATTAAAATCACTGTGTTGACTTACAATTGACTTCATCCTCTGGAGTGATTGTACTTGTCACTGTATTTATACTTGATTCCATGTGTTGAACAGTCACATCCATGTCTCCAACTTGTTGTTCAAATTTATCCATTATCACTCCAATTTTTCAGTGTCCAAAGTTTCAAGTGCCTTGTCGAGACCTTTCACAACACTCCCTAATGTTTTAGCAACTGTATTCATCATTTCCGCTTGTTTCACTCTACATTCATCATAAATATATTTAAAATAATATTTAAAATCCATTGAATTTAAAATCAATAATAATATTTCAAGGTACAAAATTTTACAAATCCATCATCACCAATGATGAAATTCGGAGAGCAATTTGAAAGCACATGATACGGACCTACTTGCTGCAGCATCTAGACGTGATGATAAACGAAGAAAATTATTTGCTTCATTTCCTAATCGAATTGCATTGGAAGCATGAATACGAGCGGCTTCAACATTGCCCTTTTCAAGAGCTTGTTTGACTTTTAAACGTTGTTTTGCTTGTTCCTTCTCACTCTTTTTACTGGAGAATGTGATGATGATGATCCGAGCATTCTTTTGATTGGCTTACCTTTGTCTTTCAAATTGTTTGCTGGCCATCCGCAAGTTAAAGTACAAGTCTGACATTTTTATTTGAATCAATAATGAAGAGGTGATGATTGGATGATTTGTGGAACTTTTATGAAATTATTATTAATATTACAAAATGATATCATCTGTAATCATGGCAGACAAAATATTTACATCTGTAATCATGACATTATAACAGACAAAATATATACAAATTCATGACAGAAGAACTGCACCTAGCAGAGCAAAGAATAATGCAGTATAACGCCTCGTGTATGGAGCAATATATTTAGAGATGAAATTATGTAAGTGAAGAGGGTGATGAATAAGTTTTTGGAGCGGATAGAACGAAGCAACTCCGACAATTGACAGAATACAGAAAATACACCCCAGCACCACATAATCTTGTTTTGTGAATTTTGCTTCTAATTTCCGATTGTACATGGGTTGAATAGGATGCTGTGATTCTTTGCGATCGTTCATGCTTAGCGCATCTTCTAATACAGAGGAAAGGGGTTTTGCAAATTATGATTTAATTCAGTATGATTTGATGTATTGCTAATGTCACCGCTATGCTCCTCTTCATCAAATTTTACCATTTTTTCAAAGCTTGTTCTCACCAGCTCGTAATGGAGAAATGTTTTGATACTCAGCATATTCTCTTTGTGCAGACATTGAAGGAGAGCCCAGAGAATACATGTTGATCAATTGATTGGGTGAAAGTTTTATCACTGGTGAGGAGTTTGTAATTTCATCACCTTCTTCAATTTGACTCATTGAGAGAATACTTTTCCCCTTAGAAGCTTGAGAACGTGAATGTTGGACTTGATCTAACAAAAGCTGATTAGCTAATTGAACACTCTCGTTGTCTTCTCGATAGAGATCACTCACGCTATCGCTATCATCAGAAAGAACTTCGGAGAGTGTGGAGAGAGCAGTCTTTGGATCAATTTGAAGAATATGCTTACTGAAGTGCTCGTTGTTGGCCTCATTAATTTTCTCTTCGAGATCCATAATTTTAGTTTTCAGATATCCAATCTGGTCTTTGCAAATATGGCCCAGTTGTTTGGCCCTTTGGATTCTATCTTGCATTCTTTGGTACAATTCCGATCTTTGCCTTTCCATTTGTTTGAACACCAAATCATGTTGATTCATTTCAAAATTCAGAGAAGTGCTAACATTCAAAGAAGAAGAAACATCTCTTAATAATGTGGAGGAAGTTACAAACGTGTTTCGGGATGAATTAGGGTTACCTTGCTGTGTTCCTCCATTGAAGCTGTTCGTGTTGAGGGGTGTAGTTTTAGAGCTCCTTATTGGACTAGCCGATAATACAGGTGCATCCATCAAATGCGGTGGATGATCTGAAGACAGAACGCTGCTGTGGTGGATGTTGTTGTGAGGAGAGGAAGTTGAGGTTGTGCCTCTCTGCAGCATGGTTTAAGGAAATTTTTTGTGGGAAAAACTTTTAAATGACGATGGAAGCACTCTGCTGTTTACCCATTTTCAAGTTTCAACCACAAATCACGGATGCCCATTTTGCTTTTACATTATTTGGGAGATATCTTATGATGAAAGGCACCCACTCATGATCTTACGCCGTTCATTGAGATCCGTTTGGGAATGATATATGACGAAAAGGATTACAAAGTCAAAAATAATTGGAAAAAATGTCTGAACATCACCAAATCTACTCCGCTATTGACTCTCTCTTCGCAAACCCTTCCGGTGTACACGAGAGAAAGAATTTACATTCATTTGTGAAAGCTGATAAAGAAAAAGTGGCTTTGGCATACAGGTATTGCCTGGATGAATATTCAAGTAAATTGGAAAATGCTTTTGATGATGAGGCTAAATCTTCAGTGTGCTATAGTGCTTCAATGATTGCACTGATTTGTTTGGCTACTCTCAAAAGACTGATCTTTCAACTATAGATGACTTTTTGAAGTTGTAAATACTAAAGGCTTATATATTTGTGTAGAAGGATGCATCCGAGAAAAAACACCAAGTACATCAAATTATTGAAATCATATTTAACCACACTACAAACAATCCCGAAGGAAGGAAAGTATGCACGATCAATGGAAAATATTTACGAAGTCCATCAACTTGTTATGAATTTCTTTGCAGAAATGGAGAGTAATAATAGCAATGGAGCCTCTTCCTCGGATATGGATATCTATAAGGAAGTTGAATTGTCAGTTGTGGCTTATACGGAGTTTCTAATGTCCGTTTTACGGAAGACTCGTTTGCAAGTGCAGACGATAATTTTACATTCAAATATCTATTAATGTGTAAAAGCCTATTTCAACAAGGACTAACCAACGACAAATACATGGGTGCATTTATTCATCTATTCGTCCATTTGCGCTCAGCAGTTTTACTGATTCAGAATTACACAGAAAAAGAAGGAAGCAAAAGTCAGCAGAGATAAAATTGGACATTTTGAGAGATGTCATAGCAGAAATTTGTGATTCTCTACAAACTAAGAACAACACAACAAGAAAAGGAATACAATTATTGGTTAACATAGTTGATGCATATTTACCATTATTGGATGATCAAAAGGAATTAATTCTTAGGTCCATTGTTGTATCAAAAACCAAAATATTATTCATGCCTAGAAAATTTAACACAGTACAGGGAACAATTGAAAAATGCGACCAACTATTTCTAGCGATACCTTTCGATGAAAATACTTTGGAGAACAATCTAATAATCAAATCAACCACTACGGATCCAGACGTGCTACATGCTACCTCGAAAACGACTCTTCTTACTGTATATTTGAAAAATTGTAAAGAAAATAGCCCAGTAGTGAACAAATTTATGGAATTCCTAATCAAGCAAGTCAAATTTTGCGATTCAGTGCTCTTGAATGATACAGTGGATGGAATGCCTCTGTATCATCAAATATTTATGTCCATCAGTGAGGTTTTAATGAAAAATAAGCAATCCAATATGTTTTCAGAGGTACAGCTCGTACTATGGAGAGAACTTTTGATATATCAAATCCAGATATAACACGAGATTTATGTATGGATATTCTAGCCTTTCTATTTAATAATAACTTTGGATTTCAGCAGTATTATCTAGAGCTGTTACGAGAGCTCGTTCAAACTTTGTCATCCAATTTATTTTTGAGCCCTCCAGAGCTAAGGATAACAGATACCTCTAATCAAGACGACGTCGAGTTTGAATGGTTGATCGTAGAAAAGTATTGAGGCCTTTTATTCACAAATTAGACATTAGAGATATTGGAAGCCTTATTGACTTGTCACATGACTGTCTGTCAGATGAAAGAATTAGCCAAGCAGCACTTTTGCCTATTAACATATTAAGCCAACACTTTGATACTCTATTTGGAAAAGGAGGAAAAATTTTATCCCATTGTGCTCGCAAGATTAAGCTTTCATTTCAGCCTATTACTGTGGCATATGCCGCACTGCTGAGGAGTTTCTTGACATTCAGGACTGTTCCTTTTGAGCAAGGCAATAATTTAATTTCCGTACTTTTACTTTCACAGAAAAATCTCTCAGATGTAGCCTTGTCGGATAGATACATTGAAGAGGCAATTCTTGCAGTAGTACATATTCTTCGCAAGTTTGAAAATAATCCTTCTCATGTGGATCAATTAATAGCAATTATTGATTGTTTGAGACAATATTGGCCAAAATCTGAAAGGATCAGAATGTGTGTTTCCTTCCTAATTGATTCCGTTTCTGACAAGTGTCATGGTACTGTTGTCGCAGGACTGCTGACATGTTTGCAAACATTTTTTGGAGTGGCACTGTCATCGTCTGAAAGCATTTCTCAAGTCCTATTGATACATGCCATAATCAACTTTATTTTAACCAATCCTCTGACAGCAGACTCTATACTGACGTCCTTACGCCCAGATGTGAAATCTGTCGTGGAAAACATTCGATCATTAATTGATCAAGAACAGATCAAAGGAAGCTCAATCTTATCTGAACAATGCTCACTTGATGTACAGAATGAGAAATCAAAACAAGCCATGTCAAGAAAAAGACAAACAATGGCCTACACGACATCACTCCAAAAAGTGAAACCAAATATTAAGACTATCCAAACAGTTAGTATTGTTGACCAAGTTGCAGAGGTACAAAAAGCCCTCAATGATTTGCTTGAAGCCAACAGCGCATCA